TTGGATGGGGGCGGCCTGTAATCTCAGCTACTCCAGGGGCTGAGGCAGGAGAATCGCTTGAACCTGGGAAGTGGAGGTTGCAGTGAGCTGAGACCGCACCATTGCTACTCCAGCTCCGGTGACAGAGCGAGACTCCATCTCAAAAAAAAAAAAAAAAAAAAATGGCTGAAGCTACAGCAGCCATCTTGGATCATGAGAATAAGCATGAGGATGAAAGCCACATAATGACAACAACTCAAAGGTCTAGGTAACTCCTCAGCCTCCCAAAGTGCTGGGATTACAGGTATGAGCCACCGCACCCGGCCCAGACTTTCTTTATGTCAGAAAACATTTCCATATTATTTAAGCTACTATTATTTTGGGCTTTACAAATCTAATTGCAACCAATAAAATATTCCATGTGTTTTCTTATTTCACTGAACTCCTTCTTTACCACCATATAAATTGGTGGGTGCTTTTAATTTTAAACAGTAAGTTGCAACTTACCACTAAGACCCTCACTTCGGAGCACCTTCTTGCAAGCTGCCGAATCAGTGAATGAGCCTCAGGTAATAAAGGTTTTTCAAGACAAGCCAATAAAGCATAAAGCCATCTTCCCTAAAAAAAAATTCAAAAAAGTAACATTTAGACAAATACTGAACCAGAAGTTTATTTTTTAAATGTCCAATGTTATGCCTGATTATCTGCTATGAATAAATTCATAGAACATTTAACTATATTATATTTGGGTATAGATAACAAAGCCTCATTTGGAGAGCCAGGTGTTATCTCTTGTATCCTATAATTACAGACACAGGACATTGGATACCTCAAAATATTCCCTGATCTCCAAAGAGTTTGTTTCAGATATTCCTTATGACAGGAAGTTCTCATTTGTAAGCAGAAAACTACATTAAGATGAATATAAATACTTGAAAAAAATTAAGATTTTTTTTTCTTTGTTCTGTATGGACAGATATATAAATCATTTTATAATTGTATAATTTTGTCCTCTGGGGACATACAAACTATACCACAGATGAAATAATCTTTTGACACTTCTATAAATACTATTACAGGCTGAATGTATCCTCACTCCTTTTTAAAATGGGGTTTTCAGTTACAAAATGAACACATATTTGATGCAGAAAAACTGTGAAGAATACCACAAGGACAAGAAAAAACAAACCTGCAATCACAACATTCCAGATAAAACTTTGACTCACTTTTAAAATGTTCTTGTTTTTCCTATTTGTATGTATGACTTTCTTTTTTTTTTGAGACGGAGTTTCGCTCTTGTTGCCCAGGCTGGAGTGCAATGGTGTGATCTCGGCTCACTGCAACCTCCACCTCCTGGGTTCAAGCAATTCTCCTGTCTCAGCATCCCAAGTACCTGGAATTACAGGCATGCACCACCACACCCAGCTAATTTTGTATTTTTAATAGAGATGAGGTTTCACCGTGTTGTTCAGGCTGGTCTCGAACTCCTGACCTCAAGTGATCCGCTTGCCTCAGCCTCCCAAAGTGGTAGGATTACAGGCGTGAGCCACTGTGTCCGGCTGTACAACTGTTTTCAATACAGTTTCATCAGTTGTAATATCATCTTGTAGCCATCTTTTTTATTTATAATACATAATAAAATGTTTACCTTGTTTTTTTTTTTTTTTTTTTTTTTTTTGAGATGGAGTCTCACTCTGCCACCCAGGCTGGAGTGCAGTGGTGCCATCTTGGCTCACTGTAACCTATGCCTCCCAGGTTCAAGCAATCCCCCTGCCTCAGCCTCCTGCGTAGCTGGGACAACAGGTGACTGCCACCATGCCCAGCTAATTTTTGTATTTTTAGTAGAGATGGGGGTTTCACCATGTTGGCCAGGCTGGTGTCAAACTCCTGACCTCAAGTGATCCACCTGCCTCAGCCTCCCTAAGTGCTGGGATTGAAGGAGTGAGCCACCCCACTCAGCCATCCCATGTAGTTAAATGGGATTAACAAGGGAATGTTAAGTGTCTGGTTGAGAGTATTTAATAACATCTCCTTGTTTAATCTCATTTAACAACATGGGGAAAGTTTATTAAGTATTGCAAGTAAAATGGTGACAAAGGGTATGTATATTCATCAAGGTTTTTCAGATATGATCACCGGATTGTATCCTGGAAAGGTTATACCAAATTTGTATTTCCACCAGTACTATATACAACTTCATTTATTCTGAGCAACATATCACTTTGGGGAAACCTAAAAAATATTAGGACAAAATTTAAATAGCAATTTATACAACACACTAAGATGGTTTCCTCGGGCAAACCCAAATCAATAGTTAAGACTTTCTTACACAAGAAGATTCAAATCCAGGTTTCTTTTACAAATTGTGGAATTCTTTTTCTATAAAAAAAAAATTATATGTTTCAACTTGACTCAAATTTTAAGGGATACATTTAATATGTAAAGCTAGCATTCGGATATTAAATATTCTCTACACTTGTCTGCAACAAGATAAGGAGTTTGTACCTTGTACCAGGATATATATCAACTCTTTCATTGACTTTTTCTCAAAGTAAGACTTTCTCAATGAAGGAAGTAGTATATTGATTTACATTCTAGTGTTTGACTACAAACAAGCATAGTTCAGATTATACATATATATATATACACACACACACACATATATAAATGTAAACACTGGCTGGGCACAGTGGCTCACGCCTGTACTCCCAGCACTTTGAGAGGTGGAGATGGGCAGATCACCTGAGGTCACGAGTTCAAGACCAGTCTGGCCAACATGGAGAAAGCCTGTCTCTACAAAAATACAAAAATTAGCCAGGTATAGTGGCAGGCACCTGTAATCCCAGCTACTTGGAAGGCTGAAGCAGGAGAATCGCTTGAAACCAGGAGGCAGAGGCTGCAGTGAGCCAAGATCGCGCCAATGTACTCCAGCCTGGGCGACAGAGGGAGATTCCATCTCAAAACAAACAAATAAATAAAAAATAAATACTGTAGCATCATATCTCATATATAAGTATAGTCATGCGTCACTTAATGAAGGGGGATATATTCGGAGAAATGTGTTATTAGGTGATTTTTGTCCCTGGATTAACATCACAGAGTGTACTTACACAAACCTAGATAGTATAGTCTACTATACACCTAGACTATATTGCATAGCCAATTGTGCCTAGGCTAGAAACTTATATAGCACATTACTGTACTGAATACTGTGGGCAACTGTAACATAATGGTAAACATTTGTGCATCCAAAAAAACCATATATTTTTTAAGAGAGGGTGTCACTCTGTCACTCAGGCTAGAGGGCAGTGGCACAATCATAGCTCACTGCAGCCTCAACCTCCCTGGCCTTAGGTGATTCTCCTGCCTCAGCCTCCCTAGTAGTTGGGATTACAGGCATGAGCCACCACACCTGGCAATAAACAACATATTTAAACACTGGAAAGGAGCCGGGTTCAGTGGCTCATACTTGTAATCCAAACAGTTTGGGAGGCCAAGATGGGAGGAACACTTGAGCCTAGGAGTTTGAGATCAGCCTGGGGAACATAGTGAGACCTCATCTCTATTTAAAAAACACAAAAGGCCACGCATGGTGGCTCATGCCTGTAATTCCCAGCATTTTGGGAGGCCGAGGAGGGAGGATCATTTGGACTAAGTTCAAGACCAGCCTGGGCAACATAGTGAGAGCTTGTCTCTAGTTTAAAAAAAAAAAAAAGCTGGGCGTGGCTGTGTGCACCTGCAGTACCAGCTACTCAGGAGGTTGAGGCAGGAGGATTGCTTGAGCTGGGGAGATCAAGGTTGCAGTGAGCTATGATCGCAATACTGCACTCTGGGTAACAGAGCGAGATCTTGTCTCAAAAAAAAAAAAAAGTGCAGTAAAAATACGATATTATAATCCTATGGGAGCACCACTGTATATGTGGCTCATAGTTGACCCAAAACATCTAATTTTTGCCTACATTATGAAAAGAAAAACATGCAATACTACCAATTCCGGAGTAAAGTCTCTTTCTCCAAACCAATTACTCAGATATTCCAAGACACTAGTTACTGTTGCCTAAAAAAAAGGAGGGGGTGGAAAAGAGTTGTATTAATAATAAAACACAAATTGAACATGAGTTTCATTAAGTTTCTTTAGAAAGCAACTCCGATGTTAAAAATGGCCTCATTCTTTAAATTTTCAAAGAAAGCTAATTCTTTTGACTCTACTTAGTTTGATTAGATGGCTTATCCCATGAGGCTTTTTTTTTGAGATGGAGTCTCCCTCTGTTGCCCAGGCTGGAGTGTAGTGGCGCGATCTTGGCTCACTGCAATCTCCGCCTCCTGGGTTCAAGCAATTCTCCTGCCTGAGCCTCCTGAGTAGCTAGGATTACATGCGTGCGCCACTATGTCTGGCTAATTTTTGTATTTTTAGTAGAGACGGGGTTTCTCCATGTTGGTCAGACTGGTCTGGAACTCCCGACCTCAGGTGATCCGCCTGCTTCAGCCTCCCAAAGTGCTGGGATCACAGGTGTGAGCCACGGCGCCTAGCTCCAGTGAGGCTTTTAAAACAAATATTTTCACACTTTCAAATATCAACTAACACCTTGGTTTAAATCCCAGGATTTAGTTTGTAACTATTAATAATTTAGTTTGTAACTACTTGAAAGACTTCACAAGGTTAAAAAAAAAAAAAATGTATTTGTGGCCAGGCTCAGTGGCTCATGCCAGTAATCTCAGCACTTTGGGAGGCCGAGGCAGGTGGATCACTTGAGGTCAGTTTGAGACCAGCCTGGCCAACATGATGAAACCCTATCTCTACTAAAAATATAACAATTAGGCCGGGCGCGGTGGCTCAAGCCTGTAATCCCAGCACTTTGGGAGGCCGAGACAGGTGGATCACGAGGTCAGGAGATTGAGACCATCCTGGCTAACACGGTGAAACCCCGTCTCTACTAAAAAATACAAAAAACTAGCCGGGCGAGGTGGCGGGCGCCTGTAGTCCCAGCTACTCGGGATGCTGAGGCGGGGGAATCGCTTGAACCTGGGCGGTGGAGGTTGCAGTGAGCCGAGATCGTGCCACTGCACTCCAGCCTGGCGACAGAGAGAGACTCTGTCTCAAAAAAAACACAAAAAAACCAAATCATTAGTTTATTTCCAAATCCAAATTAAATCAAAGTACGATGAAACCCTATCTCTACTAAAAATATAACAATTAGGCCGGGCGCGGTGGCTCAAGCCTGTAATCCCAGCACTTTGGGAGGCCGAGACAGGTGGATCAGGTTGCAGTGAGCTATGATCGCAATACTGCACTCTGGGCAAAAGAGCGACACTCTGTCTCAAAAAAAAAAAAAAAAAAAAAAAAGGCCTGGTACAATGGCACACCTGAGGTGAGGAGTTTGAGACCAGCCTGGCCAACATGGCAAAACCCCATCTCTACTAAAAATACAAAAATTAGCCAGCCATGGTGGCAGGCATCTGTAATCCCAGCTACTCAGCAGGCTGAAACAGGAGAACTGCTTGAACCCAGGAGGTGGAGGTTGCAGTGAACTGAGATCCCGCCACTTCACTCCAGCCTGGGCAAAAGAGCGACACTCTGTCTCAAAAAAAAAAAAAAAAAGATGTATCTATAAAAATACCATCAGTTGGCCAGGCGTGGTGGCTCACGCCTGTAATACCAGCACTTTTGGAGGCCGAGGCAGGTGGATCACGAGGTCAGGAAATCAAGACCATCCTGGCCAACATGGTAAAACCCTGTCTCTACTAAAATTCAAAAAATAGCTGGGTGTGATGGTGTGCACCTGTAGTCCTAGCTACTAGGGAGGCTGAGGCAGGGGAATTGCTTGAACCTGGGCGGTGGAGGTTGCAGTGAGCCGAGATCGTGCCACTGCACTCCAGCCTGGCGACAGAGAGAGACTCTGTCTCAAAAAAAACACAAAAAAACCAAATCATTAGTTTATTTCCAAATCCAAATTAAATCAAAGTACACATCTGAAGAAAAAATTAGCTGGAGAAAGATGTTTTTAAACTATACAGATGGATTTATCAAACTCTTGAAAATATTCTCTGGTTTATTCAAATACAGTTGATGGTTACAACAAAAATGACACTGATGGAATTTAGTATGACTGCTACAATATCTTAATGCAAATGAGTAAGTAAAACTGTCAACCTGTGTATTATTTCCAATAGAATATAGCCCACAAAAAAATATGGCCAACAGGCTGGGCCCAGTGGTTCACACCTGTATTCCCAGCACTTTGGGAGGCTGAGGTATGAGGATAGCTTGAGCTCAGGAGTTCCAGACCAGCCTGGGCAACACAGTGAGACCTGTCTCTACCAAAAATAAACAAACAAAATTAGCCAGGCATGGTAGCACATGCTTGTGGTCCCAGCTACTAGGAGGCTGAGGTGGGAGGATTGCCTGACCCCCAGAGTACAAGACTGCAGTGAGCCAAGATCACACCACTGTACTCCAGCATGGGCAACAGAATGAGACCCTGCCAAAAAAAAAAAAAAAAAAAAAGGCTTCCAAAGGTACCCAATGCTATGTGAAGATAAAATTAAATTTTTATTTGCTTTTAAAATGAGTAATAGAGTCCTTGCTCCTAAAAAACTAAAGAACCAAACTCCATAATTCTCCCCTTTTGGTCCAAGAAATTATGTATGTCAATCTTTTTTTTTTTTTGAGAGTCTCGTCCTGTTGCCCAGGCTGGAGTGCAATGGGGCGATCTTGGCTCACTGCAACCTCCACCTCCCCGGTTCAAGCGATTCTCCTGCCTCAGCCTCCCGAGTAGCTGGGATTACAGGTGTGCGCCTCCACGCCCAGCTAATTTTTGTATTTTTAGTAGAGACAGGGTTTCACTATGTTGGCCAGTCTGGTCTCGAACTCCTGACCTCGTGATCTACCCACCTCAGCCCCACAAAGTGCTGGGATTATAGGAGTGAGCCACTGGGCCCAGCCCATATTTCAATCTTAATAGAATGTACAGGACATCTAGAACTAGAAATAGCAATCTAACCTTAGTACAGATACCCCTGAACTTGCGATGGGGTTATGTGCTGATAAACACATTGTAAAGTTGAAAATTCCTAAATTGGCTGGGCATGGTGGCTCATGCCTGTAATCCCAGCGCTTTGGGAGGCCAAGGTGGGCGGATCACTTGAGGCCAGGAGTTCGAGACCAACGTGGCAACATGGTAAAACCCTGTCTCTACTAAAAATACAAAAAGTAGCCAGGCATGGTGGGGAAAAAAAAAAATCCTAAACTGAACCATTGTAAGTCAGGGACCTTGTATTTAATTCAAATCCCAGAATCTAAGACTTATAACTGAAATCTACAGAAATTAATACTCTAACACCATGATTAAGACAGAGCATGAGCTCTGGAGTTAGATCTACCTGGCACTGAATCCCAGTACTGCCATTTACTTGCTGAAAAACCACCTGCAAGTTACTTAACCTCAAATGCAGTTTCCTCATCTATAAAAAGTAGATATCAACAACTCCCCATAGAGGGTTGTAGTAAGGATTAAATAAGAACCATTACAGAGCTTAGGACAAAGTCTTGCATACTATAAGAATTCAGTAAATGTATTAATAATTCAAATACTTTCACACACAATGCAAACGAAATAATGCATATATCTTTATTACTAATTTTACCTGATTCATTCTGCTAACAATACTAAGCAAGGGAGGAAAACCAATCTGAAAGAAAAAATGAGACTGAAATTTACTAAATGGTATTATAAAGAAAAGCTTCTTTTTTTTTTTTTTTTTTTCCCAAACTGGTGAATTTCTTGCCACACTGTTGTTTAGAAACAAAGAACAAATAAAAGAAAATTCTTTCGTTGTCCATTACAGTAAGACATTCCGGAAACTACTATGTTGGTAATGTGGAAGAAAATAATGTCTTAAAATTTGAATATGTAATTTTTTTTTTTTAAGATGAGGTCTCACTCTGTCACCCAGACTGGAGTGTGGTGGCGCGATCTTGGCTCACTGCAACCTCCGCTTCCTGGGCTCAAGTGATGCTCCCACCTCAGCCTCACTAGTAGCTAGGGCCACAGGTGCATGTCACCATGCCCACCTAATTTTTTTGTATTTTTGGTAGAGACGACGTTTTGCCATGTTGCCTAGGTTTGTCTGGAACTCCTGAGCTCAAGTGATCTACCTGCCAGGGCCTCCCAAAGTGCTGTAATTACAGGCATGAGCCACCTCACCTGGCCTGAATATGTAAATTTTTAAATAAAGTATGATTTAGTAACTAAAATGTTAAAGACTAAAATTTTGTTAAATGATAGTACTTGAAAAAACTAACTTATTAAGTATATTCAATAAAACTGTAACATATTGATGACATTAATATGTTGTACACACCATTTCAAAATCTTCAGCTAAAGCTAACATTTTCAAGAATTAAGGACATTTGAATTAGAATGACATTTTTCAAACCTAATTTGATTCAATTTTTAAAAGTCTACTTTGGAGTCTGAGGCTGTGATTCCTAATTATTAAAATACCACTGATTTGTGAGAAACTTAAGAGGATATATATTAAACGCTTACTTTCTTAAGGGTTTTTTTTAACACGGTGTATTTTATTTGTATGTATTCTCTGAAAATAAGCTAAATAAGTAAGTTTTATTTCCTTATTAAATTAAAAACCATTTTTGGCCAGCCATGGTGGCTCATGCCTGTAATCCCAGCAGGAGGATTACCTAAGCCCAGGAGTTCCAGGCCAACCTGGCAACATGGCGAAAACTTCTCTCTACAAAAATTTTTTTAAAAAAATTAAAAATTTTTATCTTAAAAAATTAAAAAATTTATTGCTACAAAAAATTTAAAAATTAGCTGGGTGTGGTGGTGGGTGCGTGCTGCCCCTGCTACGTGGAAGGCTGATGTGGGACGATTGCTTGAGCCCAGAAGGTTGAAGCTGTAATGAGTCATGACTGCACTACTGCACTCCAGCCTGGATGACAGAAGACCCTGTCTCAAAAAAAAAAAAAAAAAAAAAAATATATATATATATATAAACACTATTTTTGAAATGTAGCATATATTAAGGATATCATCCAAAAGATCAATTGGTTACATAGAAAGTGTATCAAATTAACTTCCCTAAGATTTGAGTCTATTTACACTACTGTACCACGTCTAAGAGTGCTTGTTTTCCCAGCTCTTGTCAATATGGTGTATCAAACTTTCATTGCCAATATGTTACCTGAAAAATAGCACCTTGGCATAGTTGTTATACTTCCATTACAAGTGATTTTTGGCATCTTGTCATATAAGAATAATTTTATTTCCTTTCTGTGAGGTATCTTTGGCTATTTTTTCTTGGGCAGGGGAGGGGTGATTCTTGGTCTTTTTATTGATTCTTGGGGCTCTTTACATTTTTGGGAAAAATTAGTTTTAAATGGGAAAAACACAATGTGGCACCATATAGCAAATAATAAATACCTGTTGAACCGAAGAGAACGACATGCTATAGGGAGTAAGCGCTAATGCAGAGGCATACACTGGATTTTAAAGGAACACCTGCAAACTTGGGGGCAGGTAAATCCTGAAGGACAATGAGTTGGCTACATAACTTATGACTACAGCCACATGAATTTTAAAGATATCCTTAAAATTTCATCTTCAGAATATATTACTTACTTTTTTACAGGCCCATGAAATGATATTATGTGATTATGCATTTTAAAGCACCTAATTGTGTCAATTTCCATTTTTTCCCTGGCTACTCATAACACTGTTTGCCTGATGCCTCGTCATTTTAAAACACCCTGAATCTTATCCAACTCATAAAATGATTACCAAGTCAAACATAAGGGATATGAAGCCAACCTAAAAAAAGTCACAGTAAACTGTTTCAGAAACTAGCTGCTTTGTTAGGTTGAAGAGCTAATAAACTAAGTCTGGGTTGCCAAACATTTTCTATCAAGAGTTAGACAGCAAATATTTTAGGCTTTGCAGGCCACATAAAGTCTCAGCCACATATTATTTGTTTCTTTTTTACAACTCTTTAAAAACCTAAAAACAATCCTTAGCTCATGGATATAAAAAAGGCCATGAACTGGACTTGGCCCAGGGTAGAGTTTGCTGACCCCTTATATTAAGTGATGCACCAAAATTAAAACGCTTTTTGTTCTGTTTATCCACACAGCCCTTACTTGTACATAATCTATTCCAGGACTTTCATTTGTGGCTGGTCCAACAGCCCCGTCAGCACATAACTTTTCACCCAGACAAAATTTCTTCCAGCCTTCTTCATCTTCAGATTTTGGCTAAAAGAAAAAAAAGAAAACTGATTTACTCCTGTGTATTAATTTTTACACTGAACAGTAAAAAAAAAAAAAAGAAGTTAAGGCCTTCCATATTCCCATTACCTCAACCCAAAGATAGGGTGCCAGTTATGGAGAGAATCTCTGTCCCCAAAATTTGTATGTTAAAACCCTAAACTCCAGTACCTCAGAATGTGACTGTATTTGGAGATAGGGCCTTTAAAGAAGTGATTAATTTAAATTGAGGCCATTAGGGTGAGCCCTAATCCAATCTTACTAATGTCCTTTTAAGAGGAAATTTGGACTCACAAAGAGACACCAGGGACTCCCACACATAGAGGAAAGACCACGTGAGAAGACATGGAGAAAGTGGCCCTATGCAAGCCAAGGAGAAAAGCCTCAGAAGAGACCAAAATGAGGCCGGGTGTGGTGGTTCATGCCTGTAATCCCAGCACTTTGGGAGGCTGAGGCAGGCAGATCACATGAAGTCAGGAGTTCAAGACCAGCCTGGCCAACAGGGCGAAACCCCACCTCTACTAAAAATACACACAAAAAAATTAGCCGGATGTGGTGGCACACACCTGTAATCCCAGCTACCCAGAGGCTGAGGCAGGAGAATCGTTTGAACCCGAGAGGCGGAGGCTGCAGTGAGCCGAGATTGTGTCATTGCACTCTAGCCTGGGCAACAAGAGCGAAACTCTGCCTCAAAAAAAAAAAAAAAGAGAGACCAACCTTGCTGCCACCTTGTTCTTGGACTTTCAGCCTTCAAGACTGTGAGAAAGTAAATACATTTCTGTTGTTTAAACCACCTAGTCTGTTATGGCAGCCCTGACAAACATAGTGCCTAAGTGGCTACAAAATATGTGGGGATAGGTTGCTTTTTCTTATTATTACATTTTTTGAGACAGGGTCTTGCTATGTCGCCCAAGTTGGAGTGCAGAAGTGTGATTACAGTTCATTGCAGCCTGAATCTCCTGGGCTCAAACAATTCTGCCACCTCAGCCTCTTGAGTAGCTGGGACTACAGGCACGCGCCACCATGCCTGATAATTTTTAATTTTTTTTTGTAGAGATAGTTGTCTCACTATGTTGCCCAGACTGGTCTCAAACTCCCGGCCTCAAGCAATTCTTCTGCTTTGGCTTCCCAAAGTGCTGGGATTACAAGTGTGAGCAACAGTGCCCAGCCAAGATGTGTTTAGTTTGGACAAGACTTTAATGGACACTGACAGACAAGGGTGTGTCCAAAAGAGGATGATAAAGACAGAAATAAGTATGGAGGAAAAATGCACCAAGAATGCTTAATAGAATGAAGGATGTTTATCCCATGTAAAGAGATGTGATTACATATTTCACATATCTGAAGGGCTGTCCAATCAAAGAAGAAACAGATCTACTCATGCTGCCAGACAGAAAATTCAGGACTAGTTGGGAGAAGCATTCAGCTCAATATAACCTTCTTAACAAAACAACTTTTATTTGTACATATCACCTTGCACATTACTCTGCATAGGTGTATTATCCCCCCCCAGGGATAAGTAGCTTTCATTAAATCCTTAGGATGAATCATCTCAGGTCAGGAGTTCGAGACTAGCCTGGCAATCTGGTGAAACCCCATCTCTCCTAAAAATAGAAAAATTAGCTGGGTGTAGTGGCGGGTGCCTGTAATCCTAGCTACTTGGGAGGCTGAGGCAGGAGAACTGCTTGAACTCGAGAGGCAGAAGTTGCAGTGAGCCAAGATTGTGCCATAGCACTCCAGACTAGGCAATGAGAGCAAAACTCCATCTCAAAAAAATAAAATAAAATAAAACCTCATGATGAACATGAGACCACTACAAAGTTAAACCCTATTGTCTTGTCTTGGAATAAGGTATCTACCTTTTCCTATCACTCCATCAGGTCAGAAACTGTTTCTGTTTCAGTTAGTACTCAATATCCTGATTATTAAATATAGTACATGCTTAATTATATCAATTAATAAACAAATGTTTATGTTTTCACACAGTTGCCATCAGAGTGTACTTTATTTTTTAAATAATTTAAATAGAGACAGGGTTTTGCCATGTTGCCCAGGCTGGTCTTGAACTCGTGAGCTCAGGTGATCTGCCTGCCTCAGCCTCTCAAAGTGCTGGGATTACAGGCATGAACCACTGTGCCTGGCTCAGAGTGTACTTTAATATTCCACTGTTCTGACGGACCATAGTTTACTGAAGCAATTATGTTAGGTCATTTCCATTTTTGACAATATTTTATCAAGTCATGTTACTGATGTGGCTTCTTTTTTAGATAGTGGGCATGTACCCAAAAGCCCTTCCACTAAGTGAGAAAAAAATATATTTACCTACCTAGCCCTGTCCCAACTACATACATACATCCTTGGTACTAGGAAGGCACCATTGCCTAGTCAAAGGCACACAGGCTTTAGAGACAGACCAACTTGGGTTTGAACCCTAAGCATACCTTTTGTGTGTTTATGTGCCCATGCTTCTTTGATAGAAGAACTAGCTATACCTTTTACGAGTTAAGTGACCTTTGGCAAGTGATAAGTTACTTCCCTTCACACTTTTGCTGGAGCAGAGCTTCCAAATGGTATGCAGAAGCATACAGAGATGCCATATACTGAATCTCTCAGCTTTCGGCTAGTTTCAGGAAGAATATGCAAGCAGTCATTTATTCTAATGTGTCACCATGTAAAAGATATCAGGAAGCACCGCCTAAAGGAAGCTTCTAAAATCTAAAATCTATGAACTACCTGAAACTAAAATTTTGTGCACAGGTGCATTTTTTTTCCCTCTGAACATAAATAGCTTTCATTAGATTCTACGAAGGAATATAAAATCCCCTAAAAGGTTAAAAACTACTGTCCTGAGACAATGTATCATCCTTCCAACTCCTTTTTTCATTTGGTAGTCCTGATATATCTACTAAAGAACTTAAAATTATATCTAAACTGATAAAATGAAGGACATATGCATGACAATATACATGACAGGTTTCACTTATGTGTCACTGGAATTGTGATGCAGACTCATCACATTAAGCAGAAGCAGAATCCATTCATTCACAAATTCTGCAAACATGTGAGTTTACTGCATGCCACCATCACCTCATCAGGAAAATACATTAAGTCTTTATTCAATTTTTTGGTAAATATTGAAAATGTATTTATTTCCTAGAAAGTAAATGTCTAGAAGAATCCTTAAAAACTTGTGGAAGCTTAACAGTCACCTATCCAAATTCCCCCAAGATATTATGAATTAAAATTGACATGAAAGGCTGGGTACAGTAGCTCATGCCTGTAATCCAGCCCTCGGGGAGGCTAGGGCAGGAGGATCACTTGAGCTCAGGAGCAAGAGACCAGCCTGGGTAACACAGGGAGACCTTGTCTCTATAAAAAATTTAAAAAATCAGCTGGGCACGGTGGTACGCGCCTTAAGTTCAACCTATTTGGAAGGCTGAGGTGGGAGGATCACTTGAGCCCAGGAGGTCTAGGCTGCAGTGAGTCATGATTGTGCAACTGCACTCCAGCCTGAGAGATAGAGCAAGACCCTGTCTCAAAAAAAAAAAAAAAAAAAAATTGTCATGAAAATCATACTTTCCAGGCTACTAACGTAATGGAATTGTTACTATTAATGGTATATTGAAGAGAATGAAAATAACTGACTAGGCAAGTGAATCTTTAAAGACTGGAAGTAAATATAGATTCTTTCAATCAGGTATGCATCGTACAACTTAAAACCGAGAAACTTACATACCATAGTCACATTACTATCCAACTGTTGTGATTTCCAGTGACTTCTATGTTTGTTCACATTCTAAAGGAAGAAAAGACGTTAGACGGTACTCCTCAAAAAATGGATAACTGAAATCAGTTTCTGCACAAAATTGTAACCATCTAAAACTTGGAAAATGGGAAAGGTGGGAGGGGTGAGATATAAAAAACCACATATTAGGTACAGAGTACACTGCTTGGGTGACGAGTGCACCAAAATCTCAGAAATCACCACTAAAGAACTTATCCATGAAACCAAAAACCACCTGTTTCCCAAAACTACTGAAATAAATAAATAAATAAAAATAAACAAAACTTAGAAAATATTTCAAACTGTATGTCTAATGATTATAATAATAATTTAGTAATTAATTCATGAATATTCTGTATACTTTAGGATCATAAATTTTATTTTTCCAGCTACAGTCTAAGAACAGAAATAAATCCAACAGGGGCTTAATCAGATTAAATATGACACTTACCTGTCGAACAGTTGAAAACTGTGCCACTTGTTGCTGTTGCCATTGAAGTGTTGGGGAATAACCTTCAGGGGCGGGTTGGCATCCTGAAAGCTAGAGATCAAGTTCACAAATATTAGGATCAACAGTAGTGTCAAAACTAGAATCTCATGCCTCTGCAAAGCAAAATAAAACCAAGATAAAGTATATAATAAAGATTATACAAAGGCCGGGCATGGTGGCTCACGCCTGTAATCCCAGCACTTTGGGAGGCCGAGACAGGCGGATCACAAGGTCAGGAGATCAAGACCATCCTGGTTAACACGGTGAAACCCTGTCTCTACTGAAAATACAAAAAAATTAGCCGGGCATAGTGGTGGGCGCCTGTAGTCCCAGCTACTCAGGAGAATGGCGTGAACCCAGGAGGCGGCGCTTGCAGTGAGCCAAGATGGTGCCACTGCACTCCAGCCTGGGCGACTGAGGGAGACTCCGTCTCAAAAAAAAAAAAAAAAAAAAGATTATACAAGAAAATAAAATACTTTTTGCAGATGTAAAAAAGTAGGCATTTCACTTTACTATTTATATTCCAGTTAAAAACATTAGGGAAAGAGTCTTAAGTCACCTTAATCAGAGAAATGGAAAGGTTTACAGTTGGAGTGTCTATAAAATCTAAATGACAGGAGCCTGGAGGATATATCTAGTCCTACCTGCCTTTCTAGAATAGCAAAACAGAAGCAAAAAGAGAGATATACCCCAAATAAAGAATTCTGGTATGAAATACAGTTAGATAGAATGAATGAGTTCTCATGTTCAACAGCACAGTAGAGTGACTATAGTTAACAGTAATTTATTGTATATTTCAAAACAGCTAGAAGATTTGAATGTTCTCAAAACAAAGAAATGATAAATGAGGTGATAGATATCCTAATTACTCTGATTATTATACATTGTATGCATGTTTCAAAATATCACATGTACTCCATAAATATGTACAATTATTATTATTTTGCCCACATGATAAAGCATGAAATTATGTATGATTATTATATATCAATAAAATAAAAAATAAGAACTTTGGTATGGGCAAAATGTACTTAAAGACGTTTAACTTTAAATTGCCTACTTCTGTTTTCTTTTTTGAGACGGAGTTTTGCTCTTTTTGCCCAGGCTGGAGCGCAATGGCGCCATCTTGGCTCACCGCAATCTCTGTCTCCTGGGTTCAAGCAATTCTCCTGCCTCAGCCGCTCGAGTAGCTGGGATTACAGGCGTGTGCCACCACACCCGGCTAATTTTGTATTTTTAGTAGAGATGGGGTTTCTCCATGTTGGTCAGGCTGGTCCTGAACTCCCGAACTCATGTGATCCGCCTGCCTTGGCCTCCCAAAGTGCTGGGATTACAGGCGTGAGCCACTGTGCCCAACCATACTTCTATTTTCTAAAACAGCACGTACAGCCTGAGCAACATATCAAGACCCCGTCTCTACAAAAAATACAATTAGCTGGGCACTGTGGCACATGCCTGTCGTCTCAGCTACTGGGGAGACTGAGGTGGGAGGATGGCTTGAGCCCACGAGCTCGAGGCTGCAGTGAGCTATGATCATGGCACTGTACTCTGGCCTGTGCAACAAAGCGAGACCTTGTCTCAATCAATCAATCCATCCATCAAATTAGGTATATTAAGACATTCTGTTCCATTAAATGTCCATCAACTAAAAAATCCTGAAGAGGAATTATAAGAAAAATTATAGTGTCTGAATTAAAATTTCCTGATTACAAATATCAGTTAGAGAAACTACTTTGAACATGAAAAGGAAATTACTATCAACTAGTTAAAATGCCACTCTCCCAGGCGCCTGTAGTTCCAGCTACTTGGGAGGCTGAGGCAGGAGAATGGTGTGAACCCAGGAGGCGGAGGTTGCAGTGAGCTGAGATTGCACCACTGCACTCCAGCCTGGGTGACAGAGTGAGACTCAGAGACTCTGTCTCAAAGAAAAAATAAATAAATAAAATAAAATGCCACTCTCCTTTGAGCTTAGGTTAAATAGCACCTCCTTAGAGGACCTTTGCTGGCCAGGTGTGGTGGCTCACACCTGTAATCCCAGCACTTTAGGAGGTGGAGGCAGGCAGATCACTTCAGGTTAGGAGTTCGAGACCAGCCTGGCCAACATGGTAAAACCACGTCTCTACTAAAAATACAAAAATTAGACGGCTTAATTTTTGCATTTTTTAGTAGGAGACGGGGGTTTCCCACCGTGTTGGTCCAGAAAATCTGGTCCTCGAACTGTGTGACCGTCGTGATTCGCCCACCCCTGCTCCAAACTGCTGGGATTAACGGTGTGAGCCACCATACTAGCCTTAACTTTTTAGCTATGTGCACACTTGGACATTTTTCATTTATTTTATTTTATCCAGCACATCTTTAATTAAGCAGAGTACAGTGCCGGGCCCTGGGAATACAACAGAGGATAAGAACAAAACGGTTCCTTACCTTTGTAGAGTTTACAAACTCTCCTGAGGGAACGACAGGAGAGTAAACAAGCGAACAATAATTTACATATTGTGATTACTGCTATGAAGAAATATAGCCATATATAATAATCAATACATGACAGAACTACTGTAGATAAGAGGAATCATAAAAGGACTCTCTTTTCCCTTTTTTTTTTTTTTGAGTCTCGATTTTTCACCTAGGCTGGGTACAGTGGCCACGATCTAGTTCATCACAAACTCCGCCTCCCAGGTTCAGAGCTTCTCCTGCCTCAGCTCCTAAGTAGCTGGGATTACGGTGTGTGCCACCCACCACCCGGTCTAATT